CAGAGTATACAATATTATGTGCATGGCAAAAGCATGTGGAATATTTTGTTGATGCTTTGACAGTAATACAGCAAAAAAAACGGCTTAATTGTGCCTTCATGTAGGCATATAGTTGGAGTCTTATTACATTAAATAGAAGTTATAGTAAACTAGAGATCTGCTGAACTTAGATCGTTAATGGTATGTTCGATAAACGCTTTAGCTTCACGACAGATCTAATGTAGTTACACGTTCAGTGAACAACCTTTCAACAGCCAAGTCCTTTAGTTGCACATGGCTTTAAGAGGAACTGGGGCAGTCCATTACGATATAGACACATCTCTCTCGAGTAGCCAGAACGTTGTTTCTATGTAGGAACGGACTGATTCCGCGCGTTGCGTCTGCAAGCAGTTTTTAAGCTTTGACCGCTGATGCTTCAGGAGGCTGTTCCAGCCATTCGAAAAGGTTTCATTTTCTTGCAGCGAGGTAACTCACTGTTAAGGTAAGTCGGTTCACTTATTTCCTTCGGCGATGACTATGATATCCATTTTCATGCCCACAGCTGTTTATATCATTTTGAGTCAATGCAGCAACAAGAGAAAATACCCTAGTCAGTGATTCTGATGAGTAATCCGCACTTTGATCATTAACCTCCTTTTTCGAAGCAAACGCAAGCGGGATTTACGGAAAGAGCTGCCGGGAATGAAGTGAAAGTTTATTCCATGAATAAAACCACTAAAGCATCATGTTTTTCAGCACAGGTAAAGGAAAATATATATTTTGCAAATTAGGTATTAAATATGTAAATGGCAGTGCGAAAAAGTAGACGAACAAAACTATGGACGAAACAATGAGCAAGAGTGCTTTGGCAGATTTACTGCTCAACAGCAATAACAATGTTTTTCGTTCAGATCTTTGTCATCAGCTCGAACCCATAGCTATGCTGCCAACTGGGGCGTCCAAAAATATGCGGCTTAGCCAGTGACTCGAAACAGTACCAAAACATTGCGGACTTCAAGCAAAAAGGTTGAACTTCTCCACCAAACTGAGTAAGCAGTGCATAGACTTCTTTTACGCCAGCCATTTTCTCCTTATCGTATTGAGCGGATAGTCATGAACTAAAACAGTGAACGTTGTTTTTCTTCATTTCATAAAGAGTAAACCATTAGCTGTAACTAGACTGCCAATAAAGACTCATCTCATCCTAGTTAGCCGTTTGACTTAGAAATGACT